TGAAAGATAAGAACAGCAATTAACTATTCAATCATTTATTCAACAAATATTTGCCAAACACCAATTACCAATTTAATTTTATGATATAATCTTGCCTTCACTAAGTTTAAAACAACTGGGGCCAGGGATTTAGCTCAGTGGTTCTGCCGCCTGCCTCGTAAGCACAAGGACCCAAGTTCGATCCCCGGTACCAAAAAACAAACAAACAAACAAAAAATAAGTTTAAAACAACTTTACCTTTCTAGAACAGAACTTCCCTAAGGATGACTGTTCATTGTAGGATTGAAATAATTCATGTTAACCAACATTCAACTCATTCATGTTTTAGTAGAATAAAAAATGACTTTTTTTTGTTTGTTTGGTGCCAGGGATTGAACTTGGGTCCTTGTCCTTGCAAGGCAGGTGGCGTAACCACTGAGCTAAATCCCCAGTCCAAAAATGACTTTTAGAATACAAAAAGGACCTGAGCTCTATGAAGATTTTATTTAAAAGCCAAAATTCAACCTTATCTTCAGATGACCTAAATTATTATAATAAAAAAAAGATGAGAATAGTACAAAGTCAAATACAAGTAAATTCGCAGACTGAGGCAATGAATTCAACACAATCTACTTCCATTACAATCACCTATAAGATGGCTAAGGTAACACACTGCTTCATTTGTTCTCTGTGCTTTCTCCTAGAAATGAACTCGGCTTTCCACAAGAACATCTCTGGAGCATGGAATTATAATGAACAGTGCATCCCAGGGCTGCTCTGCAGGGCACTGGTAGAAGGCTATCAGCATGTGCAGGGCCCTGGGCTCCAGCCTACATACTGCCAGAAAAAGGAAAAAAGTACAAATAGCCTATCACAAATGTTAGCATCTCAAAATACTGCTAAAAAAGGTTTCAAATTAATGTTGAATTAACTTTTTTAAACAAAGAATGTTTATATCATCTCTGCCTGAGATATAAAAGTAATAGGTTCACAACAGACAAAAAGCAGAGTACAAAGCATTATAAAAAAAAAGTAAGGGCTGGGGATTTAGCCTGAGCACTTAGCTCAGGGGCACCGCACTTGCCTTGCAAGCTCAAGGTCCTGAGTTCAATCCCCAGTACTGGGGGGAAAAAAGAAAAACTAAGTACATAGGCAGAGTATGTACTTGCCATCAATTAACGTATGCATATAAAGAATCTGGGTATTCTTCACTAAAAAATAACTCAGGTCAAGAATGATTATAATTACTTCTTAAATCCAAAGACATCAGGACTTTATCTTTTAGGTATTCAAATGGGTAACACTTTGTCCTCTTAAAATTGTGGCATTCCTGGGCTGGGACTTGGCTTAGTGATCACACTTGCCTAGTCTGCACAAGACCCTTGTTTGATCCTAAGCAGGAGAGGATGAGGACAGAAGAGAGCAGACAGAAGGGAGCAGAGGGGGTGGAGAAGTTCTGAAAAAGACACTGATGAATTTGAAAAACAAGTAGAATTCAGACAAAAATGTTTCCATTGGAAAAGATAAGAAAAGCAAGAAAGATGTAAAACCATTTTACTTTGCAGAAAAAAAGGAAGCCACATAACATTAAATAACCATATAGAAGACAGAGGTTCCAAGCTCTGGTAGGCCAAGTATTTTGTCTAGAGCAAGTCAGCAATTAAAACATCTAATCTAATATTATATACTCCACTGATGCGCTGTAAATACTTCTAAATTAGTAACCAAGGACTCCTTGTACTTCCTGATAAAAATTAGATGGCAAAACAAGTTTTCTTCACATTGTAGCTGAGAGCTTTCAGAAGATAAAATTACTTTTCAAATTTGAATATACACATTCAAAGGCAGATAAAGCACACAGACCATCACTTTCCTTTCAATTTATATATATAACTTACACAAGTAACACTCAGGCACCATTCTGAAATCATGATGTAAACATTTTTGCTCCATTCACTATGAAATGAACAAAGTGTTCTGGTCCCAATTCTGCAATACTATACAAGTTGTTTTAGTGATCTGTTCCTGTAAAACAAGGAGGCTCAACTTCGATGACAGGAAAGGAGTCTCCCATCTTTCAAAATCCTATCTATGAGGGGGATTTAGCTCAGTGGTTCCACCACCTGCCTCACAAATGCAAGATCCCAAGTTCGATCCCCAGTACTAAAAAAAAAAAAATCCTACCTATGAATTGTTTGGTTTTGGAACAGGGTCTTGCTATGTAACTCAGGCTGGCCTGGAAGTCACCATCCTCCTGCCTCAGTCTATAGTGTTGGGATTATAAGCATGCAATACCACACCCAGGTGCACTCTATAAGTCACTTCAACAAAGCCAACTTACCTAACCTACCTGTAAAAACATGTATGAACATCTACCAAGTGACAGGTTCTATTTCTCATTCCTCATTGCACTCTCAAAAGCAAGTGTTTTCTTCATTCTACTTAAGGTATTATCCATCTTTTTGCTGTCCAATTCAGTCAAAGTGGAATGCTGGGATTCAGAGTCTAACTCCAAAGCAAGCTCTAGTAAGGTACCCTTCAAAACTTGGTGTCTCAAACCAGGAACACACAAAAGAAACACAATTTGAAACTTGTCTGAAACACAAATACCAGAGAAAATAGAAATAGAGGGCCAGGTATTTAGCTCAGCAGCACCATGCCTGCCTCGAAAGCACAAGGTCCTGAGTACAATCCCGGGTACAAAAAGAAACCAGAAATAGAGAAAACTGAGGACAAGAACCAAAGAGGTGAGCTATGGCTACAGCATTCTGAAGAGAACACCGTTTCCTAAGGGGGTAGCTTGGCTGTCTTAATGCCAAGGGAGAATGAAGAAATGCAGTCACATATCTCGCAGTGGTGTTGGCCTTGCATGGTGTAAGTTCTAACCCAGACTTGTGCAGTTAATTTTAATATTATGTAGATTCCCAGATAAGAACCAAAATATGAGCATCAGCAATTCGTTTAGTCCTTGAAGTCTCCACCTCAGTGGAGGAGTAGCTCTGAGACCTTGATCTCACATGGTAGTCTGCGCCTCATTCAACTGTCAATGTGGAGTATTAACAGGTCAGCACAAGCTCTAACACAAAGTTAGGGCCTGACAAACAAAAACTCCTACTACTACCCTTCAGAATCCTAGGAACAAAGCTGTCTAAGGACCACTATCTAGAGTGTACCTTTCAAATGTCAGTCATTTTCAGCAGATCTTAACTCATTCTCAACAAAAAGTTTCCTTTTTTAAAAAAGTCATACTCAGTTCCAACAAACACTAACCAAACTTCAAAATAAGTTTATGTTCGGCTTAAAACCTAAGAACTGTGGATACGGACACATATCTCGCAGCTGCATGCCTGAATGTGTGTGTGTGTGTGTGTGTGTGTGTGTGTGTGTGTGTGTGTGTGTGTCTGTCTGTCTGTCTGTCTGTCTCAGAGAGGGGATATCTCCCGGTCGTCAAAGGAAGGATAGTCACCAGTTTTCAACTTCTGCTGTTAAATGTTCTAATTTGAGACTGGAAGTCTCGCTCAGTGGTGTTGGCCTTGCATGGTGTAAGTTCTAACCCAGACTTGTGCAGTTAATTTTAATATTATGTAGATTCCCAGATAAGAACCAAAATATGAGCATCAGCAATTCGTTTAGTCCTTGAAGTCTCCACCTCAGTGGAGGAGTAGCTCTGAGACCTTGATCTCACATGGTAGTCTGCGCCTCATTCAACTGTCAATGTGGAGTATTAACAGGTCAGCACAAGCTCTAACACAAAGTTAGGGCCTGACAAACAAAAACTCCTACTACTACCCTTCAGAATCCTAGGAACAAAGCTGTCTAAGGACCACTATCTAGAGTGTACCTTTCAAATGTCAGTCATTTTCAGCAGATCTTAACTCATTCTCAACAAAAAGTTTCCTTTTTTAAAAAAGTCATACTCAGTTCCAACAAACACTAACCAAACTTCAAAATAAGTTTATGTTCGGCTTAAAACCTAAGAACTGTGGATACGGACTGCAGGCACTTAACAGCGGAGTCTGCACTAACAGCTCTGGGCGGGGCGACAATCCCTGCGGTGACAGGACGAGAGCAGGTGGCTCCGGGTCCCACGATGATCTTTTTATTCTTGGCCACAGGCTGTCGCCAACAGCTGGGCTTTAAACCTCCTACACTCTCCCCACGCCCCTACTACAGCCGAAAGGGGCGCGGGGGCCGCGGGCCGTGAGAAGCGAGCCGGGAGACGCGTGCGGCCCCCCCGACCCTCCCCACCAGCATCCTCCGCTCCCCTCACCGTCTCGGCTTCTGTGTGCTGGGGTCCGGCGCTCTGACCGCCCATGACCCCGCGGAGGAAGTTCATCTTGGCCGTTCAGCTCCGGGCTTCACCGGCCCCTCTGAGAAAGGAATGAAAGACAACGCCCCCTCCGTCTGCGGGGCCTGGCCCCCACGCCCGCGCGCGACACTCGGCGACCAAAAACCCAATCCGCCGCCCCGCTCTCCCCGGAAGCAGCCTCCACCGCTGGACGCGCTACGCATGCGCGGGGACGTGGCGTTACGTGGCGGCTCCAAAGGGCCAAGGCGAAAGGGGCGTGTC